TTTAGTGTTTTAATTCTATTTTATGTTTTGGTTCTTTCTCCAAAATCTATAACTTAGTTTTATACTTTGTTAAGAAGTATTTGAATTCTTTTATTATGATTCAAAGACATTGAAATTTTAAGAGAAATATTGTAAACATTTTAGTTGCACAAGTGAGGAGCAATAAAGCTTTAAGGACAAATAATTTATTTTTTACAATAGTAAAATTTTTATTCCTTTAAAATGCTTCAATAAATAAATATTATTCTTTATTTTAATTTAAACACTATTATTTTTATTATTAGAATATTAGAAGTTTGAATATATACTTACTATACATGCTAATATTCTCTTTATTATATTTATGTTGAAAGCATGTTTGATATTATTTATGTTTTTTTTATATTTATAATTCTAGACATAATTTTAGACATGTATAAACTCTAGTTTTTTTTTAGATATTTTTTGTTTAGCATACCAACTTTATGATTATAAACTAAACATCTTTCTTCGTTAGTTTAATAATATGTATTTACAAACTTTGATTTACAGCTTCTCTTCCTGTCAGCCATCTGCAAACCTTTGTTAACAGGTGAAGAACTTCCTTGCAACCTCATGCTGGTGAACTTATTGGCGTGACTGGAGTTGCTTTTGCTACTATACATGCGTGTGTTAAAGGGACTCATTTTGATTTATTACCAAAACTCTAAAATACATGCTGGTGAACTTATTGTAAGGAAGTCACGACACAAAAATATTCATTATTACAGTGAAATTGCTTTTTTCCCTTTGAATAAAAAATATAGAGCCTTGGTTTTTGGTTTTAGTTTTTAGGGGTAATTTCATCTTTTACAATGATATTTTAATATTTTTCAATGACTTATTCATCGTTAAAGAAATTGCCACGGCGTATATTCATCTTTTCTATCTTTTAAAACAGTAAAATAATTAATTTATTTCCAAGTAAAAAAAATAGAACTATTAACCAAGGGCATTTCTATTTTTTTTATAGTTTAGAATACAGTGAAAAGATATTTTTTGTCCTTGAAATTAGAAAACAAATAGACATTCATTCAAGGGCATTTTTGTCCTTTCATAGAGTTTTTATTTTTTGTTATTTTCATAGTCATCGAGAGCATTTTGATCCTTTTACGTTGAATAATTAATTTTTAAATTTAAAAAATTGCTAGCGTATAAAAGACTCTCGTGTCTTTTAGACCATACGTGTGACGTTTCCTAGTGATCAAAACCACCCCTCCATCATGTAATTGGAAGCTCCACCACATTCTCTTCCTCCTGGTATGGTACGTGATGGGAAGTATGAGCGATTTGTCGTTCATGTTTATTTTTTTCTTGTTTTCTTCCCTCCCCCCAAAAGCATAAGATGGTTCCTTTTGTTTTTAATATTTCAATTTCAATATTTATTCTTTTGATTTTTAATTTTGATTTTTGATCATTTTATAAAAATTTTATTTATTTTTAATTTAGTCCTTCAATTATAATTTGTCATATATATTTTTCAAATGGATCCTTTCTATTTTGATTTCTAATTTTTTTTCTTGACTCTTTTGTAAAGTCTTATTAGTTTTTAATTTCATCATTCAATTAAAGTTTACGGTATATTATTTTTTCCCTTTTGGTTCTCATTCTTTTGATTTTATTTTTCTTTTGTTAAAGTTTCTCAATCTAACCCTCCAATAGAAAAAATTTGGTTGCCCTCTAATTTATTTTATTTATTTATCACCCTCAATCTTTTAATTATAGTGGTTTTTTTTTTTAATTTTAGACCCTTTTATGTAATTGAGTTTTTGTTCTAATTTCATCATTTAATATTTAATTTGCTAGGGATTAAGCTTTATGATTTTTGTTTTTAAGGTGCTTCCGGTCCAATGACCCGGGTTACGAGTTTGAAAAGTTATGCAAGTTGACATTCTTATTTTTGGTTCATTTTATTTTCTAATATCATCATTCGATATTATTTTTTAAGAAAAAAGATTGGCTTTGTGGTTTTTTTTCAATTTTTTTTCTATCATATTATCTCGATCTCATAACCTTGACCACAAGTTTTGCTTATTAACTCAGATTAACTCGCCTCTTGTTATCCAAATTACATGTTTATCACATTAACTAGAGTTGATTTAAGTTTTTTTTTTTATATATATATAGTTATTCTTTTCTTTTTTCATTCAATTTTGTACTTCCAAGGTTTTTATTTCAAGTTTTCTTGATTTTGTTTTATATAAAAATTGTTTGTTTACAATTGTTGTCTATTTTTTTAATCATCTAAATAAAATAAAATCAATTTATTAAACTCAATCGAACCTATAACCTAAATCATTTATTTTTCTTGTTTTTTTAAACATGCTTGCGACACTTAGACTATCACAATCTTTTATTATTTTTATTCAAATTTTAGTTTTTATTTAATTGGTTCTTTTTTTTAATAATTTTTAATTTATGTTTCAATTAATATCTCTCCTCTATGATTTTTTTTTATTTTTTTTATTTAACCTTTTTTAATAGAGGATTTTTTAAAATATTTTGTATGTATTTTTTAAAATATATTATTTCATCTATAAGTTTTTTGTTATGTTTTACATAGTTGAACTTTATTTCTAAAATTAAAAATTATATATATTTAGACAATATTTAATACATACAGCCTTACATAATTTTTTTTCTTTTCTTTTATTTAATTAATTTCATGTGCGCGACTATTATCTTATATTTATTATTTCTATTATTGTTTTAATAGAAAAAATAATTAATTTGAATAAAAAACTTAAATAAATACAATTATATAAATACTTTAAATACTTTATGTTGTGAGATCAAATATCTTTATTTATTTATCTCATTATTTTTTTAGTATTATTTTCAGTAATTGTTAATGATTTTTTACTTATTTTCATGAACAATTATCAATATACTAGCATAAATTTTCTATTCACACTTAAATTTTTTTGATTTAAAAAACACATAAAAAAAACTACCTACCTATTGTTTTTTTTAAAATATATAAGCAACAATGAATCACGAATCACAGTTGAAGTAGCTAGTATTATATATATTTTTTTTTTAGATTAACGTGGGTGTCCGGGCCAGCTTGCGCGCTCCACGACTAATCCCACGGGCCCTGAAGTTAACGACCATGTAAGCACCAGTGGTCATTATATGAGCAACCAAGGATTCGAATATAAAACTATAGAAGGAGCAAACTCCTTGATCCCAAGTTCTTACCACTTGGCCACCACCTAGATGGTTAGCTAGTATTATATATTAATTCGATGAGCAATAGTTCTGGGGGTGCAGAAGGGCTTGTTTCTTGTGCTGTCAGAGATGTCTTTTTATTTTATTTATTATTATTATTATTATTTTGAGAGTCTAACAAAGATTTCATGGGTAGGAAGACAGAATCATCAAAGATATTAAACAGTAAAAAATCACTGCTGATGGAATTTATTAACATTAATCATTGTATCACAGGCTACACAATGCCAGACTTGTAAAACTAAAATGAATAA